CAAAGCTGGCAGGAGGTTTCCGGATGAGCTTTGCGTGTTTGGTATGGGCTGGGCTCCAGGGAAAAGGTGCAGCCCAGAGCTGGCGGCACAGAGCCGGCTTTATTAGCCTGGTAAACAGAGAGACTCAGAGAAAAGCAAAAGGAAGCACAAAGAGAAGAAAAGTATCTCCTCCGAGCAGCCCAACGGTGCTGCCTCCCCTTTTCTTTTGCTGTTTAAAAGGGATCATGCGATAGAAGGGGAAAATAAGTTGTTTCATCTGGGAAAGGTCCCTCATCCCTGGGTGCAGGCGCGGGGAAGGGAGGGAGCAGCAGCCCGGTGCCAGGCAGACCTTTGGTCCGACGCCGAGCAGAGGCGGGTGACTAATTTGGTGGCCTTTGTTTGCGGCACGCTGGCTAACGAAGGGTGACGGGAAATAGCCTGAAAGCTGTTGGGGTCTCTTTGAGGCCAGCTTGGAAGTGGCAGGGGAATTAAGAGCTGGTGGGAAAGGAGCTGGGGGCTTTGGGAGGAGGAAAACTGGACACCGAAGAGCAAATAAAGCCAGAAGTGAAACTGCAGCTGGTGGCCAGTGTATTCAGAGCCCTGCATCCATGTGCACGGGGAAAGGGATGAACTAAGGAAAGTGCACAAAAGCATTGGGACCGGGAAGAAATTTGGGATGGGAAGGGATGGGAGAGGTGCGAGTCATCATTTCAAAGTGATGTGCTGCTGTGTGTGGGATGTCCGCAGGGATTGGAGTCGCTGTGGGGAAACTGAGGCACAGAGGATACCAGACAGTGTCACGCTTGCTTCTTCCTCCCCCTGGAAAGATGTCGGTGATGTGTCTGGTTCTGAGCTGAATTTCAAAGATTTAGGGGAATTGTAGTCCCCATCGTCCCTGAGGCAGCCAAGTCCCCACGCCTGGACCGCGGCAGTGGGGACGGAAGGGGGCCTGGGGAATGGCATCCCTGTGCAACCGCCGCTAAACGAGCTGAATTCAAAGGGATAAAATTAATTTTCTTTTCCCTGAGGGGAACATCTCTCATGCTGAGAGATGCATAAAGAAACGAGGCCCTACAAGGCGGCAAAGAAACAGCCAAAATGTGGGTGGGGGTGGGCGGCTGCTCCTGTTTGTATGCAGAGACTCGCTTCCTGGCTTGGTCCTGATCCGGTGGGATTTGCTGGAGAAATGAGCCCAGGGGATGTTAAAACAACTCCTTGTACGAGGTGTGGGTGCGACGGGTCCTTACTGCATGGGTCAGTGTGGTGGGATGCGGTCTTGCCATGGGTCTTTAATGGGTGGTGGATGCTCGTGAGCTCACTCCCGGTGTCTGGAGCCTCCCAAACCACCTGCCGTGCAGCAGCAGATCTTCACCAGCCATTGCACGAGCTCGGGCACTGCCTTTTGCGATGGGGACGAGCATCTGAACCTCCTTGGGGCACGTTCCCCACCATTACCAGCATCTGCAAGCACTGGGATGCCCTCCCTGCCAATGCTGAGATGCTGCTTTTGGCCTGATGGCTTCACCCGGGGACGGGGGTGGTGCCGAAAGGGATGGGGGTGGTTGTATATCTGCCACTAGACTTGACATGGGTGCTCGTTAGGTGGAGGACCACGTGCTATATAGTGTAATATTTATATATAGAGAGAAAGAGGGTGGAAAAGAAGCAGAGCAGTAAATTCCCTGTGCCAGCTTGGCAGTCGGGGACCCCTATGCACATCCCTGCTGTGAACAGGGAGAGATCACCAGCAGCTTTTAGGGGGATGTTTGAGACGTTGTCACCTTTTATGGGTGCAGCGTGGGGAAATGCAGCGATGAAGAGCCTGGGGGAATGAGGATATTTAGATTGAGAGCTGGACTGATGCATCCTGCTCGGCTGCATCTTAAGCTTGGGCCAGGGGCCAAAACAACACCAGTCAAAACCCACCCAGCCGCTCCCCTCCATCCTATTTGGCATGGGGACCCAAAATCCATTGTTGGGGGGCTTGGTCTGGCCAAAACCTCGGGGAAGGTGTATCCCTCCTGCCTGCAAACCCGGAGGGTCCCAAAGCTGAGGCTGGACTTGAGGTAACAGGGATGTGCATTGAGGCTGGGCATGTGTTTCAGGGCCCGGCTAATTGGCAAAGGGTTTGGCCATCCATGCGCGGCCGTGACCCCTGGGTTTCTTCATCTCTCACTGCCGCAGTTTTTAATCTGCAGGTAGATCTGCAAATATCCTTGTGTTTGTGAGCTGGGAAGTATGAATTATGCTGTGAACACGTCCACAGCAGTAACTGTGTCCAGTAATGAGGTGGGGGAGGCAGGGGAAGCACCAACCAAAGCCCACTGTTGCTCCCACTGGCATTCCTAGCCTTGTCAAGCCAGAGCCTCCCTAGTTTTGTGCCCCCCCCACCCCAATATCCCAAAGGGCTGGGGGCTTAGATGTGCCTCATCGTTGAGACGTGCAGGGTTGGGCTGCGAAGACCCCGAGTGGCATTATTGCCAGGATGAGCGTGGTTATCCTCATCACCGGCAGGTTTTTATGGACTTCGGGATGGCGAAACACGGAGCGCAGCGGGAGGCGAGGGCATTTTCGGCAGGCAGCGTGCTCTGGGTGCTGTTGCCTTTACAAATGGCAGGATGGGGGGACCAGAGCCTGACTGCGAGCTCCAGCTGTGGGGGATGAAGTCGGGAAGGAGGATCCCCGCGGCAAAAATGCAGGTCTGACATATAAATGTATACTTATCTATGCCTTGGGGTAAGGAGGACGAGTGGCAGTGTCAGGGAGCAGGGGATGCGGCCGTGGCGTCTCCGAGCAGCGGTGACGTCTCGGCACTTGTGACTCTAACTGAATGTAATTGCCTCTTCCAAATTTTGCTAAAACCTTTTCAAAGTCCCCTGAAATTAGGGAACATCAATAACGCCGCTCTTTGGGGTTTTCAGCTCACGTCATCCCTAAGAAGTGCGATTAATTTTTTACAAGCTAATCGTATCTCTTAGGCAGGTTGTCAGCCACGGATCTGTCATCTCTCATCAATAATGGAACAACCTGAGCAGCTCTTTCCCCCTCCAACCTCCTGCATTATTCACTGCCAGGTCCTCAAACAACAGGGTGTGTGGTAGTGGGGAGCCAGGGATTTAATTGATGTCCTTTGTAATTACCTGTAGGAAGGTGGATGGGGACAGGGAGGCAGGGTTGGTAGGTGGTGGGTGAAGGATGAGAGGGGCAGGAGGTGAACGTAGGGTCCAGCACAGCATGGGAGGTTTTCTTTGGATCACTGCTTTGGTGGGGTGGCATCTCTCCGTGTCCCTTGTCTTGGGGGCTTGGGGACACTTTGGGAAAGCAGGCAGCGCCTCTGCCCAAAATGAGACTCCTCTGTCCCCTCGGTCATCGCTTTGGCTGTGCTGGTGCTGAGAAGGTCCCATCCTCTAGCCTGATCCATCACCATGGGGAAGAGCTAAGCATCCCAAATGCACACAGAGGGGCCAATTTGGGATGCGGGACCTCTGAGCCCACCGGTCCTCTCCCAGCTGCTGGATGGGGAGGTCACGTCACTCTTGAGATGGCACCAAGCGGAGCTTGTTGATGGTGGCACTGCCTCTCTAATGCTTGTCATTTCCATGGTTCAGGGCTAAAATTGTCACATTTGCATTTAAATGGAAGTTTGGGCGTCTGTAAATCCCCGTTTTCGAAGCGAGAAGGCCTAATGGTTGTTTAATCACGTTGGGATGAGGCCCCTAAAGCATCTTCAACCCAGCGAGGAGGGCAAGAAGCATCCGCGCCGTGGTGGGAGGCTCTCCTGCCGGGTCGGTAGCACGGGGGTAAACTGAGTCACAAGGATTGCCTAAAAAAGTAAAGGTTCCCCTAAAAAATAAAGGTTCCCTTCAAAAATAAAAGTTCCCTTAAAAAATGAAGCTTCCCCTAAAAAATAAAGGTTCCCCAAAAAATGAAGGTTCCCTTCTTGCCCGGGGAGGTGCAATGGGCTGGAGCAGCGAAAGTGGTCGGGGAGAGAGCCGGGGGGGTTCAGGCAGCGGGTCCGAAGGGGTCCAGATGCTCAAAAGCTGTTGCTTTGGGATGAAATTGGAGCTGCTGATCCTCCTACATCCCAGCCGGCCCCAGTCTGTCCCTGCGTTGCTGCCAGCCCAAATTATTGCGTATGGGAAGAAACTCCTGAGCCGCCGTGTGTTTGTTCAGCTCCTTTGAGGCTGGGAAATCGCTCGCAGCGAGGTTGGCAAGAGAGCATGGTAGGGACTGAATCTGCTTAATAATAATTAATCATAATAGTAATAATAATGCTTAGCACTCATATGGGGCTTTGGAAAGACGAAGCGCTGCACGGCTGCTGGCTAATCCTCTGGGATTAAAAGTCCCCAGAGGAAAAGGCAGGGGAGCGCCCCGTCCTCAGGCTCCTCTCCCCCGCATCCGCTCCCCAGGGATCCCGGCCCGAGGCTGGATGCTCTCAGGGCACCGTGGGGAGGGAGAGCAGCCGGGCAAACCACTGGCATCCCCCAGCACTGGGCAGGATTGGGGGCAAAACCACCTGGTTTTTGCAAAGAGCCTTCCTGCAGCAGGATTAACACCGTACCGGGATGTGCCCAGCAGCACAGGGTACCATAGGAATGGCCAGGATCTGACCGTTATCAAACCATTATCTGTTTCCATGGCGACGATTAGCCAAGAGGGATGGGGAGGGTGGCATGGACCAACCGTGGGCGCAGCACTTTAAACTCAGCTGGTGTCTCTGCGCCGGTGCTGCCCGTCGAGCACTGACATTTTGAGTGGGGAGCCGCCTGTCACTACAGATTGACCGTCCAGCCCGGGACGAGTGTTGTGCATGGCTCCCATCCTCCAACAAAGCTGATTTGCCCCAACCAAGGTCCCAGGGTACAAGGCCAGTAATCCGCGGCTTTTGGGCTCCCAGTGCCACCGTCCGCGTGTAGGACTCGTCCCCAGCATCCCTCATGCTAGGGACACGTGTGGTCCCTACCCCGGGGAGCTGAGACCTGGGACAGCTCGGTGCAGTGGGAATGGTGTAAATGGATTTTTCCAGGGGAAATCTGGCCCTTGCATAATAGACACCCCCCCCCAAGACCTTGCAAAGCCTCTGGGTACCCCAATATGGTTCTGGGTACAACAGCACAAGGCAAGACATTAAGTACAGCCTTCTACCAAGGGAGATTTTTCTTTTTCCTTTTAATTAAATTGTCTGAGGAAGCCAAGACACAGACAGAAAGAGACCGAGACTGTAAATAGTATAGAAAAAAAAAA